AAGCTGTTGTCTGCAGGTGGAATTTCTTCTTCAGGGAAGCCTCATCTGTTTTCAAGGCCTGCCAACTGACTGAATCAGGCCCACCTTGATTAAAGTTATCCAAATATCAACTTCGATCACATCTATAAAATATCTTCCCAGATACTAATCTTCAATTAGTATCTGAATAACAGGACTATAGCCTAGCCAAGTGAACACATCATAGGAAAGAAAAAAACATTTACACAATTATAGGCTAAGGGAGTTCAGGCTTCTGTATTTTCTCTCAGATCTCTCCAAGAATGGCATAGGAAAAAACCTGGAAGAAAGTGTGCCAGAATATTTGCATTGATTGCCTTTGGTTGATGGGAACTAAATTGATGTGCAGCTTGCCATCTGCCTCAATCTTTATACTGTTCTCTTTCTAGTGGTTGCTAGGATATTCTGATTATCTCTTTACTTGGTGGAATCCAAATTCACAGACTGTATTGCCATTTCCAGAGACTCTTTAATAACATATTCTTGAATACTACTCAAGTTTATTTATGGCTAGCTTGAGCTAAAACAAACATAAAGAAATTTCAGGAAAGAAATTCATTTGAGCCAGCAAATCTCCTCAAATGATGAATGTAATTTCTTTTTTATAACCTCTCTGTGGTGTGTGTAATTGGGTTTGGTTGTCTCTTAATGTATTTATATACAACATTCGTTGGTGTATTTTGCTTATTTTTTTTAAGGCAGAGAAAATTTAAAGTCTTTATTATTAAGCATGCCAAGGAAATAGGGATACAAGTTAGGGGGAAAAATTAGTTTATTTTTTGTCCTTGCTTGGGCTTCCCTGGTCAATTGCTAGTCGATTCTACACATATCCTGAGCACCTGCTGTGTGCCAGGCACTGCTAAGTCCTAAATAAAACAGGAGAGATTTACATATATAAATCACTATTGCTCATGCAAGTTTTTGGAGATACTCAATTTTTCACCACCACCCCTCACTCCCCCATGTAAGAAGAAACTGAATCCTCAAGATAATCCCAAATTTTGCTGCCCCATACTAGTTATTTTGGGTAACTATTTCTTTAATTAGTTAAAGGGAAAAAATGCTTTCCAACGACTTTCTAGACAATCAAGTTTTGGCTTAAACTGTAATAAAAGAAATGTTATACAGCCACTTTTGGAAAACAGATCTTCCTCAAAAGATTAAACATAGAGTTTAATTCCCTCCTTGGTATATAGCCAAGCAAAATGAAAACAAATGACCACCCAAAAACTTGTACACAAATGTTCATAGTAGCATCCCTAAACTGGAAACATCCTAGATGTTCATCAACTGATGAATGATAAACAAAATGCTATATTCATACAATGGAATATTTGTTATTCCACAGTAAAAAGGAATGAAGTACCAGTATATGCTACAACATGGACGAACTTTGAAAGGAGCATGCAGGTTGAAAAAAGCCAGACACAGCAGACCACATGTTTCCATTTATATGAAATGTCCCGAATAGGCATATGATACAGGACGGGGCAAATTCCCCCAAGTTGGGAGAACTCAAGCCCTGTACTTAGAGAGAAAAGGGTTCTTGGCTGAGCATAAGAATTCAAGCACACACCAAAGTTAGAGTCAAAAGGAAAGTTTATTAGAGAAGGGGTAATGCTCTGTAGACAGCATATTTGAGGAAGTCAGTATATATATATATATTCTGACAGTCTTTAAACTGTAATTCACAGAACTAAAGAATGAGAGATATATATATCTATCTATCTCATTCTTTAGTTCTGTGAATTACAGTTTAAAGACTGTTTACTCATTTTCCTTTGAGCATATAGTGAGGAAGGATAAGAGTATGTAGCAAGAAAAGAATATGTAGCGTGAAAGGCCTGCTGGCATTTCCCAGCCCTTGATCCATAGGTTCCCCATGGTTTTGGCCGAAGGGAATAAATGATTTTATTTTGTGTAGGGTACCACTTAGACTGTTTTCCTGTTTTTTCTTTATGGTGTAGAGAACGGGTTGTTAGCAATCCCAGCAGAAATCCTCCTTTGTCCTGCAGGTCTCCTCGTGGTCTGGCAATAGAGCTGATCAGCATATCGCAGTCTCTGAATATAGCTTCATTTAACATTTTAGTTCCCTTGCCTCCTTCCTACTTTACACAGAGGCAGAGGGGGCTGAGAGTGGGGAATAACGTCACAGGTACAAGGTTTCTTTTTTGGGTGATGGAAATATTCTGAAGGCAGATAGTTGTGACGGTGTATAACTATGAACATACTAAAAGCTTAACTGAATTGTACACATTACAAGGATAAATTACATGGTATGCAACTTATATCTCAATCACTCTTTTAAGGTCTTTGGAAGCAAAAATTAAATTATTTTACTGCAGTACTGTAGATTTAACAGCATCTTTAGAAAATCCAAAATTGCCTCCATGATATAAGATGTAAATTATCTTCAATTCATAAAAATTATCTAACATTGAATGGTGTGATAATTTTTTATGGTCTCACTATCATATTCTCCACAGTGATAAAACTTTCTCCACCTCTCAAAGACTGCAGTTCCCTCACCACCGCACACATTCTTGGCATAGCAAAGACGTACCAACCTGGCTTCTGATACCTGCTCTAGCACCTATTAACTTTGTGGCTTTAGGCTTTATTAACGTTAAGTCTTGCTGAATCTCAATTTCCTTATCTACTAAATGGGATTAATAATGACAACTTCTTATGGTGATTTCTGAGGATTAATTGAAATTTCGTGATATAAATTCCTGGCACACAGAAGGCACATACAGGTATCAGGTTTTACTCCCCCAACCTTTGCTACTTCAACAAAATTACCTTACTTTATAGGTTATAGAAAATATTAATGTTAATGAGAGCACAATGAACAGGTTTGTGATCTCATCATTTTCACCTTAACACATTATTTTGTTCTTTCCCTTAATCTTCAGACAAAAAAGAAATTCTCTCTTATCAAAATCAGACTTCATTTTTTTTCTGTCCTCAGGATCTTGCTCTGTTCTACCCTTTAGTATTTTAAACCTCACCACAGATTATTTTTCTTCTGCCCTCAACTTTCTTGCAGCTTTCTTATGTTAAGTGACTTTTGTAACTTTAGTATAAGCGATTATCTAATGGTGGTCTGTCACTTCTGTGTTTTGCACTTGGGTTTATCTCCTTAGAGACTTGGCTAAGGGATCATACTCCAAGGAGTATCCTCCCTCATCAGTCCACCCAGAAGATGCACCACCTCTGTGCCTGTCTGGCATCCTCCACATACTTCCATTGCATGTCCTTTTCACTTTATTGCCACTGCTGAGATATTTCTGTGCCTGCCATTACCATCTTTTTGGCCCAGACAGTGCTTTTTTTTAATCTCTATTCCCAGCATCTAGCATATCCCCTAGCAAAGTTGGGGTTCAGAAATTTTCACAGAATGTATGGTCCATTGGATGATTTATAAAAAACAGGATTATCCCATGTATTTATAACTTGCCTTTTTCCCCATTTTACATATTAAAAGATTAATTTCGATGAATATTTTTAGTGGCTACATAGTATTCATTTATGAAGATGGAGCACACTTGAACCAATTTTAAATAATTGAAAATCACATTTCTAGAGACTGGATATTAAATGTCTTAACTTGACCATATTTGTGAATTCTGGTTAAATGGGATTCTAGCCTAGAGCTTTTTGTTTTTTAAATGCTTTCCCAATAGTCTCCAGGGAAATTGGGCCAGAATTCCATTTGCCAGGTCATCTACTTTCACATCAGGCACTGTGGGAAAAAATAATGTGTATATGGTATCCTGCGGTAATCAGATGAGGCTGCCAAAGGCCATAAGACACTGGTCTGAGGGCTCTGCCCAAAGTAGGCTACACCATCCTATCTGACACCCTGTAGCCCATGGCCACTAGTTGACAACACAGTGTCAATGTAAGAAGTTGCAGCTCAGGCTCCAACATCAGTCTGCGGGAGTTCAAATCCCAGAATCACCATTTCCTGGCTGTGACCATCGGTTATTTAAACCCTCAGCTTCAATATCATCGTCTATAAAAATATTCTATGTACTCACATAGGACTGCTGGTAACATGAAATAATATGACGACCTTCTGAAGGAATTCAGGACTCTAAGTCTGAAAAAAGATATCAAGCATATCCACGTGTTTCTTGACACAAAATTTGTATGCTACCACATACCCACTCTCCATTGTCAGGAAATCCATTCCCTATTGGTTTGGAATAATTATAGGAAGGAAATTTAGCAACAAAATAAGTCACAATATTGAGCGCATGCTCTGTGCTATTTACTGTGTTTTTAGGGTTTGTGCAGTAAAGGGGCTGATGAATTCAAACATTAGCCCAAACCTTTTGTTTTTTTCTTTCTACCTTCAGGGGTCCAGTTTTTCCTGTGAAATTTATTTCTAAACTGCTAAATAGCAACATTTTGCAGAAACATTTTATCCATGCCTTTGTTGAAACTAAAATCTGAAACAATCCTTTCTTTTCCTTTTCCAGACTCACTACAAAAGAGCAAAGTAGTCGTCACCTTAATACCATTAACCATTTTCATGCCACTGATTCTGTTTCAATCATTCTAGACTTTGTTTATTAACTTGACTATCTTCTCCCCCAATTCCAGGTCTTCTAGATTGAATTCTCCCCCTGAACAGCCTAGTCCAAGCTAGTCACTACAACTGCCCTAGTACCTTAGAGAATCCCTACCTCATTTAACCTCACGTTGGCTTCCATGTCTTTTTCCAGCCTTTAGTCAAAATACTTTCTTAACTGCTTTGAAGATGATAGAGTGAAATACGTAAAATATCTATCAAGGAGGCAAGGAGGGAGGCAGCCGAAAGAATGAATGGCCCCCATTGACTCTCGATTAATCAGTGTTATAACTACTAGTTTAAAGGCAATTTTATAATTTTTGTAAAGCATCACTCTAAAATATTGACTTTGAATTGTAATTTTTCTTTCTTGTCACTATCAAAGCCTAATTCTGAATGTCTCTCATTTATAAAGGGAATTGCAACCTTCCTTCTAGGCCCACCCTTCCACCAAAAAAAACCACACTTGTGGAGGTTTAGAGAGATTGAGCTAGTCAATGTAAACCCTCAAGTTAATTAACTTCCCTTTTTGAATTTTTAATTACATAAGTAATGACATGCTCATTTTTAATATTTGATCCATTTCAATAAATTTTGAAACATGAAATCCTCCACTCATCACATTGTTTGAATATCGTTTCATATCATAGTTATCCAAACATATTACCCTTTTTCCAACATTTTATCGTGAAACTTTCAAACATACAAAACTTTACGGTAAACACCTGTATACCCACCACATCGATTCTGCCTTTTACATTTTACTATATTTGTTTTATCATCCATCCATCAATTGGTCTTGTTCTTTTTATGCATTTCCAAGTAAATTGCAGAAATTAGTATGTTTTTCCCTAAATACTTCAACATACACATCATTAACTAGAGTTCAGTATTTAATTTTTTTCTTTTGAGATAAATATTACATATAATGAAATATACAGGCCTTAAGTGTACATTTGCTAAGCTGTGACAAATGTATGCACCTATAGAACCCCATATCAAAGATATAGAACATTACTATAACCCCTAGAAAGTTTCCTTATGCCCCTTCCCAGTGACTCTTTACCCCATCCCTCTAGAGACAACTACTGTTCTGATTTTTCCACCATAAACATTATGAGATACAGAACTGTTTTTGTTTTTTGATTCATTGTAGACGGTACATACATAAATATGGGTTAAAATTATTGGCCATAAGCCATTCTGATGTTAACTGGTTTTTGTTGAAAGGATTCACATTTATGATGATTTTTAGTTTTATAATTATTGCTTCCTAAACAGATTATTTGACTAGTATGAATTGGTTTTATAGAAATTATATGTAATTCTTTCTCTTAAATTCAGGGAACCTCCAAAAGGAGCTCATTTTCTTGCCAAAAGTCTGGATGATGCCTTAAAACTTATTGAGCAACCAGAGTTAAGAAGTAAAGTGGACATGGTTTGGATAGTGGGAGGCAGTTCTGTTTATAAGGTAAGTAAAGTCATCTGTAAATACAAAGGAATGTTCTTACTCTTTCTTTCCAATTACTTGCCATCAGAACTTTTAAAAAATTAAGCCATGAGTAAAGGAAGCACATTATCCCTACTACTGTAAGTTAGACACAATGAAGCATTTGTTTTTTGATACTATCATGCAAACAAAAATGTAAATGTTTTAAAGTCTTTACCATTTTATTTCCAATTCAAAATAGTTGATATTTCCACTTTAAAAAACATTCCAAATCCTTCCCTTAAAATCATACTGGGACTGTACTGTTCTCTGCTCCCTGGATGTGCCTCAATTTATTGAGTTACATATACCCATTTCTTCAAGTATAAATGTGCCTCTTACTGAGAAAGGGATGGGGCTGTCAGTTTATGTACACTGACCAGATATATATGAATTTGTTAAAAGCGGAAACTTCACCTTAACAATATAATGTTAGGGCATACAAAAAGTATTATGTGATTTAAAGGAAAACCATAAGTAACAGAAAATATTCCTTTTTCTTGATACCAAATTTTAGCCTTCAAAAATTTTGTGGATAATAAATGGAATTTTTTACTCTTTTAAAACACTAATGAAAGATTAACATTTATGGAGAACAAAAAATCATCCCCTATCCTTGGTAGCTTGTAATAACACAGGTATACTGAAATTATTTGAGAAAAAAGGAATATACTAGGATCCCAGACGGCATTATAAAAATTCTGTTTATTAGGTTCCTGTTTGTACAGTCTTTTATTTTCTCCATTTGTAATAGGGAGGAAATGGATATTTTCCTTTTATCTTTCAGCCAAGTGTGACTTTCTAAGAAAAAAATCATTTATTTTGTTCAGTATTCATTTTGAATGATTCAGTACTATATTCACTTGAAAGTGTATTTTTTAAACAGTGTAAGTACTTAAATTCATTTATATAATTTGATATATCTATATGTATATAAATAATAAGGAAGTAAAACCTCCAGGTTATAGTTTTGCACTATCCACCTACCTCACATCACAGTATTTAGGTTTATATTCCCAAGGGCCAAATCAGGCCTACTAGCTAGGTTTTGTAAATAAAGTTTCATTGGAACATAGCCATGCCCATTGGTTTAATATTATCTATGGCTGCTTGTACCTACAAAGATAAGAAACCATATCACCCACAAAGCCTAAAATACTTAACCATCTGACTCTTTACAGAAAAAGTTTGCCAGATATCATAAAGTTTGACACAGACTTTGAAATGCTGCTGCGATTATTTATTTGGTTGAGGCAAGAAAATAAATGATGTAATACTATAAGCTGATATATTGAAAAGAAAAAGCAAAATTTGTTCTATGAACTTATTTGGAATTTTAAGGATAAACACTGAAGTTATATATAATATGTATATATTTTTCTCCCCACGTCCCCTCGGCCCCCAACATGCACCATAAGCAATTTGAAAATTAAGAGTTACTGCTTTCTTGGAGCTACAGTTATGACTCATGATTTTTGTTAGAATTTTAAGATATTTGTTCCGGGACATTTTTTTCTGTAGAAACCGTCAACAGTACTATAGGCAGTAGTTACAAAAGTCATTAACAATATGAGGCCAAATACAATCATTAGCAACGAGAAGCAGAACAAATTACCTACTAGCATCATAACTATCTCCTGGGTAATGAAAGTATTATTAAATTTTATGTCAATGTACTAAGTACACCCTTGTACTAAGTAGTCAGGGTCTCATGAAACTATACTATTTTATCCATATGTGCATATGTAAATTTTCACATGAAGAGTAACTACATAATTAGGAGTTCTTAATTCCTAAACAACCACCAAAGAAAAAAGACAAAACTGAATGCTTAAATGGAAAAAGAGTTCATGTAAGCAAACTAGAGGCCAGAATATATTTTAACTCACTCTCATAATTATCGATAATGACTAACTCCACTCTCAAAATAACTAAGGCATACTTTGCAGGGCCCTAAAGTGAAATAGGATATTTTAATATCATTCTTTGGAGGTAACAATTTATGTAGCATGTATTTAATACCTATTACAAACTTGACCATATAATTTTAAAATGTCTCAGAGTTTCTATTTCTTTTGACACAGATAAATAAGGAAATTGATGCCTTTTGTTTTATTTCAAAGGAAGCCATGAGCAAGCCAGGCCATATTAAACTATTTGTCACAAAGATCATGCAGGAATTTGAAAGTGACACATTTTTTCCAGAAATTGATTTGGGGAAATATAAACTTCTCCCAGAGTAAGTAAAATGTTATGTCTGAAGCTCTTTTGGATTTCTAGCTTAAGAATTATATGAAAGAGTATATGTCTTTTCAGATCAAATGTGGGGTAGTAATGTATTTTATAGACAAATAGTATAGAAATTTTTGGAAATCTGCTTTAACAGACTTGGAAATGTTCAAGTTATAATGATTTTACTGAAATCTAGAGACTAGTCACTAGTTCATTCTATGAGATCTGTGTTTAGCATCAGATGCTGTCCTAGGCATTGGGGAAGAGTGTTTACCAAGACATCCTGTCACTACTACTCCAGGAGATTACATTCTTTTTTTTTTTTTTTTAATTAGTTTCAAGTATATAGTACATTGGTTAGACACATATATAGTTTATAAAGCAATCAGGAGATTACATTCTTTGTAGTAGAGAGGGAGGTTGCAAACAAGATAAACATCAAAAGAGTTGCTGTGTGGAGAATTGAAGTATTATGATGATAAATACGGTATAGTCTAAGAAGTCCTCTCTGAAAAGTGATGTCTACACTGAGATCTAAGTCTACACTGAGATCTAAATGGCAAGAAGCCAGAGAACTGGAACGAGCATTCCAGGAACCAGAAGCAGCCAGTGAAGAGACCTGAGGGCAAGAACAAGCCTGGTATGTTCCCTGAGTCTTGAAAGCCACTGTGGGCATTGTGAGCAAGGGGGAGACCCAAAGGGATCCGACCAAATGCAGATGTAGAAGGTTCTGAATCGAGTGATATTGTTCTAGCTGTTTCTGGAGAATGGAGTGGAGAGGACAAGAGTAAACCTGGAAGACCATTTAGTTAAAGTAGCTCAGGTGAAAAATGAAGGGACTTAGATAGCAGTGGCGGAGATGGACAGAAGAGGTTACACTAGCTTTACTATTAGTTGTGATTTTAGTGTAAAACTGTCTGATTTTGAAAACTCATAGCATTTTAGTTTAAAAGCACTTTTCAACTTTATGATTAATTATATCAACACTTTTCAACTAGCTTTTAACACATTCTTCTCAGTTGAATCCAGTCATTATTCTTTGAGTGTAAGTTTGTTTTTTAAATGCCTTCTAAAAGAACAGTCAGAGCCAAGTCTGAATAAATGCATGGCCAAGCTTTCAAATAATAGTCTATTATTCTATAGAACAGTAGATAGTAGTCTTGAATCAAATGAAATGTTTGACTCCTTTTCTTGGGCTCTTAACTAACTCTGAAGAGATCTGAAAATTATAAGAACTCCAAAAATTTTCTAAAAAGCTAAAGTTCAGGCTTTTGCTTATAATCTCCAAAGCCGACTACTTAGAAAAGTCACACTTAGTGATTTCATATATATTTATACAAAAATCAGTTGTGTGTGTTTGTTACACTTTATATATTTTCTCTTGTACTGCTTAGGTTGCTGATTGTCACATGTGAATATTGATCTGTTGTCCCTCACTTCTTATCTTTCTTTTTGCTACTAACAAAAAGAATAGGTTACTGTGTGAATCAGCTCCATGTTAGATTCCTTCCCAAATTCTGTTGCTCTCAATCAGACCTCCTTCCAAAGCTATGACCCTTCAGGGTGGTTGATAACTTAAAACAAGTACCACTCTGGCTCTCTGACTCTTAGAAATGAAAATTTTTAACATCTTTTCCTGAAAGATTATTTTCACACATCACAACATTCACCCACTTAAAGTATATAATTCAGTGGTTTTAATATATTCACACAGTTGTGCAAACATCACCACAATGTAAGTTTAGAACATCTTCATCACTCCCCAAAAAACTCTATACCCATTAGTAATCGTTCACCATTCTCCTCCCGTTCTAGCCCTAAAATCATTAATCTATTTTCTGTCTCTATAGATATGCCTTTTATGGACATTTCACATAAACAGAATCATATATGAGGTCTTTCTTAGAATTGGCTTGTTTCATTTAGCATGCTGTTTTCAGGTTCATCCATGTTGTAATATATATCAGTACTTCACAAATTTTCTCGCATTATCTGAACTGTCTTTTTACTTTCTTAATGAAACCATTTACAGCACTAGGCTTTTAATTTTGATGTCCAATTTTTCTATTTTTTCTTTTGTCACTTGTCTTTTTGGTGTCATACCTAAGAAATCATTGCCTAATCCAAGCCCACAGAAATTTACTTCTGTTGTCTACTAAGAGTTTTATAGTTTTAACTCTTAGTTTAAGTCTAAGAGTTTTAACTCTTAAAGTCATCATAGTTAATTTATTTATGGTATAAGGAAGGAGTCCAAGCTTATTCTTCTGTAAGTAGCTATCTAGTTGTTCTAGCACTATTGGTGGAAAGGACTATTTTTTCCCCCACAATGAATTATCTTGACATGCTTGTCAAAAATCAGTAGACCATAAATGTGAGGGTTTATTTTTGAGCTCTCGGTTCATTGTTCTATATGTCTGTCTTTATGCCAGTACCACACTGTCTTGATTAATGCAGCTTTTTGTAATATCTTTTGAAATCAGGAAGTACAAGTCCTCCAACTTTGTTCTTTTTCAATACTGTTTTGTCTATTGTGGGTCCCATTTTCATATGAATTATATAATCAGTTTGTCAGTTTGCCAAAAAGCAAGCTAGGATTTTGATAGGGATTGTATTATATCCGTAGATCATTTTGGAGAATAGTATCTTAGCAATATTTGTCTTCCAAACCATAAACATGTGATATCTTTCTGCTTATTTAGGTCTTTAATTTCCTTCAGCAATGTTTTATAGCTTTCAGTATACAAGTCTTGCACTTAATTATTTAATTAATCTTATTATTTTTGATGCTATTATAAATGGAACTGTTTTCTTAATTTTATTTTCAAACTCTTCATTGGTAATACATGGAAATACAATTGATTTTTGTTTATCGATCTTATATCTTACAACCTTGCCAAACTCATTAGTTATGTTAGTGGATTCCTTAGGATTTTCTATATATAGAATATGTCACTTGCAAATAAAGATAGTTTTACTTTTTCCATTCTAATCTGGATGCTTTTTAATTCTTTTTCTTGCCAAATTGCTCTGGCTAGAACCTCCAATACAATGCTGATTAGAAGTGACAACAGCAAGACATCATTGTCCTTCCTATTCTCGATCTTAAGAGAAAGCATTCAGTCTTTTACCATTGTGATCTTAGCTGTGGGTTTTTTGTACATGCCCTTTATCACATTGAAGATTTCTTCTATTTCTATCTCACTGTGTATTTTTATCATGAAGGAGCCCTGGGTTTTTGTCAAATGCTTTTCTGAGTCTATTGAGATGATCACGTGGTTTTTGTCTTTAATAAAAAAAAATACACAAATACTTAATACACTACTAATACAGTATATTACATTGCTTGATTTTTATGTTGAACTAATCTTGCATTTCTGGGATAAATCCACTTGAAAATAATGTAGAGTCCTTTTTATATGTTCCTGGATTCAGTTTGCTAATATTTCGTTGATGATTTTTACAATTGTATTCATAAGGGATACTGGGCTATAGTTTTCTCTTTTGTTAACATCTTCACCTGGTTTTGGTGTCAGGATAATACTGGCCTCACAGAATGAGTTGGGAAATGCTCTTGCTCTCCAGTGCCAAAATCCAAGGAAATTGCTCTGAAATGGTCCTCCAAACAAAGCTGTGGACAAACATGAAAAGTCCTTTTTTCCATTGCAGCATTTGATGCTGGTGTTACTTTCAAGCCTGTACCAACATAATAGCCTGTTTAACATGGGGTGGAGAGACTCCCCTAAGGAGAGATCTGGAGTAGGTCATCGTTCATGAAGTAGAGAAAAAGGAAACCTTCGAAGACAAAGCAAATACACTTTGTCCCTGGAAGTCTGTAACTTGCTCAGTTCTTGAGCTGCTTTCTCTCCAAATCTCTGTACATTGGGGAACTTAGAAAACACCATGCCAGCCTATCCTCTAAGGCTCTGCCCTCATTCATCTTGCCTGGAAGAAATCTTTCTATCTCAGACTATTTCACACTAGGCTTCAACCAAACCAGCAGACCCAAATATTTTATACCAGCAGTTTTCTGTTTATGAGTCTGAGATAGGCTTCTCCTTCTAGTTATTCACCTTCTATGCAGTCAAAGAGGATGAAGACTGGAAAGAAGGCTTTGAGGCAGTACTTGGCTCCAGAGCTGAGACAAATGCCCCTTTTCAATGGACAACTTGAGTAGGTGTTAGATGGGCCAACGTTTCCTCTTCTATCCATTACTTCCTGACTGTCCAACAGGATCCTGGCATATTTACCCACGTTTGTACATCCCTCTCCTAAGCCTATGCTTACCATAGTCTTCATTTTTAGTTCTGATTTGTTTCTTATAGATAATTGTTTCAAAAACTCTGTTTAACTCTTAGACTTTCCATCAAATCATCTGTGTATTCTTGTGATTTTTTTTGTCAGTTCAAATCTTATGTTTCTTTTATTCATTGGCTTCTTAAATGCTTGACAATTCTAGGGGGGCGTCACTATCTGGGTGGTTCATAACAAACGAGTCTTTTCCAAATCCTGTTAGACTTAAACTCAGAGTTCGCATGTGGCTCTTATGCAGTTTTTTCTTCAGAAAACTTTTAAATTATGAGGTATTTATAATCATTTTGAAAACAGGCTTAATATGTGAATGCTGTGGAAAGTAAAAATAATCTTAATCAGAATTAAATTTTAGTTTCACAGAGAAGATGAACAAATGCCATGGCTAGGGACCATATCCAGCCAGTAGCATAGTTATTAATGATTTTAGAAATAACTTTGATACTTCACTTTTATCTTATTAACTGACAATCTAGATAGTCTTGAGACTTTTATACACACACATAAATGTACATGTTGCTTTTGGTGACTCATCTTAAATATATTAAAATTATGGTTAAAAGTTGGCCTAGTCTATGGCCATGCCACCCTGAACATGCCCGATCCCGTCTGATCTCGGAAGCTAAGCAGGGTCATGCCTGGTTAGTACTTGGATGGGAGACCACCTAGGAAGACCAGGTGCTATAGGCTTAAAAAAATTAAAAAAAAAAAAAGGTTGGCCTAGTAAAGTCATTTAAGAAAAAAGCTATAATGCTACTAAAACAAACAGCTCAAAATGGTTAGTAAATAGAAACATAGCTTCTTCTTCTGAAATATAAATTATTCAAGAAAAAACACCTTTTTCTTTCCTTACATATTATGCTATTGTTACTTCATATATTTTGTTTCAAAATGTCATCTAATTAGTCAACAAAAGTTTAACACCTATTGTTACTCAGTATTGTGTTGGATATTATACAAGATTTAAATCTATTCCTATATTATCCCTGCCTACAATGAGTTTAGAAAATAGGGAAACCAAACCAACTAATAAACATAATGGGTAACATTTGGAAAGCACTTAATGTACTCACAATGCTAAGTTCTTTATAAGGATGAAGACTTACTGATAGCCACATGTCACACAGCAGAACCACAGCCAAACACAAGTCTGTTTAAAGCAGGTGTTCCTGAACCCACCTGGGGCATAATGGCATGCAGCCCACACAGTACTGGGGAGGTGCACTAGGATTTGGGTTGGAGACTGGAGTGGGCAGAACAGCTTTCAGTGGAGGACCTGCGTTTTGTTTTTTTGTGGGTGGATTTTTTTTCCATTGTGGTAAGAACACATCAGATGTACTCTCACCAAAATTTTAAGTATACAATACAGTATTGTTAAATATAGGCCCATTATTGCAGAGCAGATCTCTAGAACTTAATCATTTTGCACAACTGAAACTTTATACTCATTCCACTGCAATTCCCTGTTTCCCCCTACCCCTGTCAACCATCCTTCTACCCTCTGTTTCTATGAGTTCGACTATTTTAAGTACCTCATACAAATAGAACCATGTAGCGTTTGTCCTTCTGTGACTGGCTTATTTCACTTCTGTGGCTTATTTCACTTAGCATAAAGTCTTTAAGTTCATCCATGTTGTTGCATGTTACAAGATTTCCTTCTTTTTTAAGGCTGAATAATATTACACTATATGTATATAGCACATTTTCTTCATTCATCTATCAGTGAACATTTAGGTTGTTTCCACATCTTGGCTATTGTGACTAACTGATTCTAGTTATCAAAAAACGAGAGAGAACATGGTAGTGAGTATGTAGAGAAATTGGAACACTGTTGGTAGGAATGTAAAATAGTGCAGCCACTATGGAAAAGAGTATAGCGGCTCTTCAAAAAATTTAAAAAGAACTGCTGTGTGACCCAGCAACCCCACTTCTGGGTGTCTGCCCAATGGAGGGCCCGGTAACTGGAATTGGAAATTGGAGAGAACACAGATCTAAGTGAGAGGGAATAGAAAAGATCAGATAAACAATGATGTTAGTACAGGAATTGCAATAAGCCACACACTGGGGAATTAGAACACTATGTTACCTACTGATTAAACAGAAATTAAGAATCTGCCACCATGCAGGGCATGTAATTTTAATTCTGCTCTAAACAGCTAAAGGTTGTATTTTGTTTTTCTTTTGCTCACACAAGAAATTTGATACCAAGTGTAAGACTTGCAAAATATTCTCAAGAAATTTCATATTAGCTGAATGAATAATAGAGTAGAAAGGTAAAAGAGAAACTGCTAATAGCAGTTTTTGGGAGAAGAATTAGGAATCAGAAAGAAAGCAGGAGGAGAAATTACACTTCTTGTTTTCTAACTTTCTGTACAGTTTGAAATTTTCTCTTTTCAATTCCATGAAGCGTATTTGCATAAACTCATCCAACTTAACAGTAGCTTACCATTGTGAAGAAAAAAAAAAGGAAGGGAAACCAACCCTTCATTTACCTTGTGCATTGTCAATGCCTTTTAGCTGAGAGTCAGGGAAGCTACCTTTTTTATTGGTAAATTATTCAATTATATACGTATATATTTCTTTTACAGATACCCAGGTGTTCTTTCCGATGTCCAGGAGGAGAAAGGCATTAAGTACAAATTTGAAGTATATGAAAAGAATGATTAATGTGAAGGTGTTTTCTGACTTATTTCAGGTTGTTCCCCATTCCTTCCAAACAATTATATATTTTAACATTAGAGAAAGAGACCTCTGTTTACTTTAGATGTATGGATAACTATTTCTGAGCAATGTGTTTCTATTAATTAATCAATCTCAACTGGATTTGGTTAAGATCAATCTTACTTGTGCTATATCGGATACCAATCGTGAAACATTTCATACTGTAACTGTCTGAATTTTCACCAAAGGCCAGGATTAGGTCCCTAGTACCTGCTAGGGTAGCATATCTACCAAGACACCACAGTGGGAGAGTCCCCTGAGAGCATGAGTTGAAACCAGGGTTTCTAGAGAGAGGAGCTAGACAGATTTGTCCACATGTCAGAAATGGGTAATAAGCTCAATACCGCTGAGATAACCTAGGAGATGGAGGGGAAGTAAACAAGTATTTATCCCCTACTCATCATTGGTTGGGGGCTATTCCCAAGGTTATCAATTTCCTGCCCTGTGTATGAGCTGAACGTACTTCAGCTGCTAGATACGGCCTCAGGTGTTTGCATTAAGAAGATGCTGGCAGGTACAGAAAGAGTGAATACTAAATACCTAAAGTAATTCCATATGTTTGATTGTTTGCATAAGATCTTCATGCTTCCTATGTAATAAAAAGGATAAAGCCACACATGGTTTGTTTGAAATATTTTACAATTTAAAAAACACAGAAGCAGCAAGACTAATTAGAAGTTCAAGTGAGGAATGATGGTAGCTTGGACCAGAGGATTGGGTATAGTGAAAAAATTATGATTCAGGTTAAATTTTAAAGTTGAAAGTAGTGGGATTTTCTTATGGATTTTGATTTTGGTTTTTGGACCTACCCAATTTGAAATGCTAGAAAGGAGAAAAGGAATAAAAAACTAAACAATAGAATAGTGCCTTAAAATTCTGGGGTTATTTTCAACTGATAAATTTACTCAGCCAAATAACCAATCAAGGACAACTAAGGTTAGGGAGAGACAGCAGAGAACTGTTATTTTCACTAAGACTTGGAACCATTTAATTTTATGTAACCATTTTCGTGTATTTTTTTTAATAACAATTACTTCTTAAGTTGCACTATTTTTTAAGTGCTGGCCTCCTGTTATTCTCTGAACACCTTGCATAAAATTTCAAAGACTCTCATGGCAATTTATCTCCATAGTCAGCTTAAAAATGTAGGAGGAAAACAAAATTAGCCAACAGTCACACAAAATGCCAAAGACCAATTATTGGGAAACCATCAGCCTTTCTTTTATGGTTCCTGATTTGTTCACCTTTCAAGACTGAGAATCAACCTCACCTTTTTCAGATTGATTTATAAGACATCACGATAAGATGATGATAATTTGAGGCGAAAATGTAAACAAAAATACAAACAAAAATACAAACACATGTTCCAAATACTCAGGTTGGCACATTTACTGTTTCTGTGAGATTGAAATTCTATAACATCCACGGCCTAATGGACATATTTCTTAAAAGTTCACCTGTATAAGGGATGGGTCATAGAGTCTCCATTTTAAACGAGCACCCTAGATGATTCTGAAGCCTACTCAATGTTGTAAGTCATTGTTTGGATGATTTAGAATGCTTATTTTCTATGTCTAGGATATCTAAATGAAGCAAAACAAAAAAGCAAATTATAGGAAGTCAACATGTATAAGATTATAGAAAGAAATTATAAAGATTAGATTTACCTGTTGCTAGCATATCTAAATGGAGCAAAACAAAAAAGCAAATTATAAAGTTAATATGTATGAGATTAGAGAAAGTAAAATTATAAAGATTAGATTTATGTGTTGCTGATCTATTTTAAGAATTTAAAGATTCATTTAAATATGTAATGCACATGGAAGTAATAGCTCAAAGAACTACACTGTAAGCAAAGTTGATTATAGGTGCCCCTTAAGATTTTTTTTTTAATAGTTAAAACTAAAAACTACAGCAAATGGCCTACCTAACTAGGCACCATGACCGAGGGAAAAGTGGGCTGGCCCAGCTGCTGAAAGCATTCAGAAAAATAATGATCTTTGGAGGATTGAACCTTGTGATCAAGGATGTTCCAGCTGGGAGAGAAAAAAAAAAAAAAATACATAAATGAGTACCATGAATAGAATTAGAGACTCTAAATGAAAAGATAATGCTGATGAAGGGGATAGAACCTCTGGCCCTAAAAATCAACATGAAGTTATGCTTTTCCTGTGACAAAGGTGAAACTGCATTTGTGACCATTTCTAATTATCTAATTATCTGCTTCTCCCTTTTCTGTTACCCAGGAGACCTCATGAGGACCAGAAAGTGTTTCTGTCATTGTGTTGACATTTGTTAAACCTTTTGTTCTTGGAATAAAAAGAAAAAATCATGTTGTATGGTATTGCAAGTAACTTTGCAGTCAGTTATCAAAGTAAATGTGAAACTTGTATATAGAAAGACAAATTTTAGATGGTCACTACTTCTCTACCCCAGGGCTATAGGACGCACTTAAGCCACACCCTGAAGGAATAAAGGGTTCATCATCAGGGAGATGTGATGATGTTGGAACTCAAAATTAAGAATAACTATGATGAACACCTGAAACTAGTAAGTTGACTATATTTTAAGAAAAATCATTTAAAAATGAGACAGATTTTCCTAGTGCATCTACTAGCCAAAGTCATTTAGGAAAGAGACCCTGAACAAAACTACATTTTCAGCCCCTGATCATAGCCCCCTTCAAAGGGTGAAAGTTTGCCTGCAGGTTTTTTTTTCACTGCCAGTCCTCTTTGATAGGTTAATTAGCAAAACTTAAATTCAGATTTCCTTCAAGCATTTTATGATGAACTATTTCAAACAAAAGTTGAAAGAATTATACATTAAACACCCATTTGCAATCACCTGGATTCTATCATTCACACTTTGTTATCTCTGCTTTATGACACTTTTATCCATCCATCCATCTATCTATCTTCTATTTGGATGCATTTCCAAGTAAGTTATAAATATCAATCTGCTTCATCCCTAGATACTTCGGCTTGCCTATTATTAACTATAATTCAACATTTGTTTATTTTGGTAAAATTTACATAGTGAAATGCAGATTTTAAGTATAGCATTCTACAGGTTTTGACAAAAGCATATGCTTGTGTGACCCAAACCTGTCCATCACTCCAGAAAGCTCCCTCATGCCCCTTCCCAGTCAGTTCCCCACCCCCAAAGGCAACTGCTATTCTGGCATTTTTCCTCATTATAGATTATTTTTTATTGTTCCTGAACTTCATATGAATAGAATCATACAGGATGTATTCTTTGGTCTGGCTTATTTTCACTCAGCAATATTTATTTGAGATCCACCCATTCTCTTGATGGATGTGTGGGTTCTTTTTAGAGCAGGATTTGAGCCCGGTGTTAAAGGATCTAGAGAGCTGGTGACAGAGTAAAGAGGAAGGCAGATAGATGCTCCAGGCAGAGGAAAAGCCATAAAGAAACATCTCCCGATTCCAAAATCAAAATCCGGGACAAGGATTTAGCCTTTGAGGGGCCTGTCAATTTGTTCTCTTTCATAACCACATCTAGTTCAGGTCCTTATTTTCTCTCTACTAGAGTAACCTAAATTGGTAGTTTTTAAATCTCTGAGCTCCCTCCCCAACAATCTCATAAACATGGCCACCAAGACAATCTTTCTGAACTACACATCTGATTATGTCATCGTCTCACCTCCTTAATGCTCACTCAGTAAAGGCCAAATTCCACCTTGGTCTTTAGGTACCTCTACAGATGGCAGTGATTAGCCTCTCCAGAATTATTATCTCGAGTTTCCATTCCCTACATATTATACATAAGCCACCTGTCAGCTCTTCACAAATCCCCCAATGGACCTAAGCTTTGCTAAACATAAGCCCTTTTTAATGCAGTTCTCTCTGCCTATAAGTCCTCCCTCCCTGTATCCTCCATTCTAAACCATACCTTGCCTCAGAGCCCTGCCCAAATCTGAAAAGTTACCTGTTTAATGAAAGCCTCTGAATCACCCAGCACTGCCTATCCCTGTTACAGCCCCTAAATGCAGTTTGCATTACAGCTGTTTGTTATTCTCATCACCTCTCCTTTAACAGTTAGGAATGTTTTCAGTTGCAAGTACCGGAAAATCCAATTGACAGTGTCTTAAGTTAGGATTTGCTGACTCTCCGATTCTCTTGGTTTTTCTCTCAAGGTTGGAAGATGGCTACTACTGCTTCAGAAATTACGTCCATGTTCATAGCAGGAAGAAGAGAGAAAGGGAGAAATGTCAGACACACATTTTCCTTTCATCGGGAAAGTAAAACTTGTCCCAAATTCTCCTAGCATTTGAGTCTAATTCTAATTAATGTACATGAGAATTTAGGATCACTGGCTTAAAATTAATCTTGATCTATCAGTTGGGGCTGGTAGACTACCCCCATCCTACCAAAATCAGAAAGGCAAGGAAGAAAGGAGGATGGATATGAGAATAAAATTAACCATGTTTGCTACATCATTGCTGCTGGAGTGCCAGCTATTTCAAAGCAGAAACTATATCTTATTCACCTTTGTCTCCCCTCAAGATGTCTAGCATCTCAAAAATTGTGATTAGATAGGAAGAGAATAAATAAGTAGGACACTGTGGACCAGCTGTCAAAAGCTGGGGAGGACTCCAGCCATGTGGAGGATAGCAAACATCACGATAGCCACTAGGAACAGAAGTCCAAACACTCCTGCCCACTGCATCTTGGTATCTAAGTTGCCAAGGAAAACACAACACTGAAGCGCTGGATGGAACAACACTACTCACATAGAGAAGAAACAGCAAGATCAGTTCCAATGGTATGCATGGACACCCATGGCTAGAGGGTGCCTCTGCAACTGACAAAGAGCAATTAGCCTACAAGCACCCCTCTTGTATTATAGTAGAAGTACCCTAACATCTCCCCAGTGGAGTCTGAAATACTGAAAGATGGGGCATGCCCAAGGTCACTGATGCACACGCTCAAGCAGGTCAAAGGAGTACACACTGAGCCTGAAACAGCCAAAAGTATTCCTCCACAGGGCAATAAGACTGGCACAGGCTGTGTGGGCTCGTTATCCCTTGGTAAAAAATTGTTTCAGGCCCAGGGTTCATTATGTGCCCAAGCCAGGGTTGAAATATGTGCCTTATGGCTGTTTGGGTTGAAAGGCATATATGAGACTGCCTTTTCCAATATTGAGAGAGAGAGAGACAGAGAAAGAGAAAACAAAATGAGTTAAATAGGATTTTGTGTATCATCTTTGGAATCTTATAACCTGTGTTACATGCTTTAGAAAAATGAGCTTCAATCAATTTATAAATGAACTATTTGCAAAAAATAAAAATTATAAAGAGATAATCAATACTCAGCTCTTTTAATGAAGTGTTCTTCAGCTGGTTTTATTCCATGAAAACTGAGTAGAAACCATGCTAACTTATCTCTTAGTCACCATGTGTCTGGTGGCTGTGTGTCCTAAATGAAAACCTAGCAGGCAGAAGCCCTAGGGGAAGTAATCAGCTTCCTGTGGTCCCCAGTCACCCTTCATCCACTTTCTTCCAAGGTTACTAGTGACGCTACTCTCTACAGGTGATAAAATATGTTCAGACCATGTGACCCATGAAGACTCATAACATACCAACACAGCGCTTGGGCTAGGAATGTGGCAGGGGGTTGCGGGGAGCACAGAAATCCTGCAATCTAGAATTGACATATTTAATTTCTACCATATATTCAGTCTCATAATAAATTCTATGTGGCACCACATTTGGAGGTGATTTGGCATTTTATTATATTCGCCACATTGCTGCTATAAATTACATTCCCAAACAATAGATTAAAACAAATGATGTGAACTTTACCTGTAATACATTAAAAATTAAAAGCAATGGTGTTCACCCACTGTATTGGTTAAAGATTCACTGCCTTAGCAGATAAACTCCAATTCCAATGACTTAACACAGTGGAAGTTTATTTTTTGCTGGAATGAAGTCTGACACAGGTCTTTCTGATCCGTGGG